TAAATAAATAAATAAACAATTAAATAAGATGTCTCGAAAACACCCTTGAAACTGTGAATGTTTTTCATGAGGACTGAAATACGCTGTAACTTATTTGCCAACGAATGAACTTCCTTAAAATAATAATATAATTTTGAATACAGCTTTCCCACTTTGTATTTTTCAGAAGTTAAGGTCATATTCACAATAAGCAAAGCTTGCGCCTCAAATTACCCCTGTTACATGTTCTAAATTTGGAATCCAACTCTCATATCAGACTGTCTCTGGAGTAGCTATTCAGCGTTTCATCATTGAACACAGAAGGTGTGAATTCGATTCCCGTGTAGAGACGTGGTTTTTATCGAGTATCTCCGTCTGGCTGATGGGACGTAGTGTCCCACTCGGAATTAGAGCTGGGCAATGAGTCGCTTTAGCAAAATCCAGATAATAAGTTAGTGCACCTCATCGACAAATAATATGACATGAGCCACTTCTGCAAATGGATGAGAACCACTTCGACACACGGGTTAGCATTACTTCAACAAATGGGTGCACCCACTTCGACAAACGGGTCAGGCAAGAGAGTTAAGACTCTGAATTCGGATAATGTTTCATTGATAATTATCCTGTTATCCTTATAGATTATCCGGATTTTGCCCACCTCTACTCGGAATGGGTCGGCCTACAGAGGCACTGTCAGAGTTGCCCGCTTTCTATATGACGTATTTTATTTATTTTTTAACTAATGTCCTGTCTTGTTCAGAGTATGCGTGAGCGTAGCTAAACTTTGTAACATCCACTGTCATTGTACACAAACAAGACAAAATTATTTCTCACTAAGAGATCAATAAAGATTGGCATTGCCATTGTCAAACCTACATTGTGTTGATGGAGACGTAAAATATCTAGTTGGCATTATTCCAGATCAAACTGCGACGACACTATCGATACAAAACATCAAAGTTCATAAAAGGTCAAAATAACCCTATAAACTTTAATCAGCATCAATGATCTATTAATATACTGTCAGTCTGAATTTCTAATCTAGTTAACCCTATCCGTACGTCGTGTTTTACTATCACATCCATACGACGTTGCGAACTCTGTGCCACCACTTTCTGAGGAGGAAATTTACTCGTTAATCCGATCCGTACTCTTTGCATAGCAGTCTGTCAAAGTGCTTTTTTGAGAAATACCTTAATTTTTAAAGAGATCTTCGCACTAGAAGTATTCTAAAATGTGAAGAATACAACCTCAGGGGGTACAAAATGTTCGCAGGGCGTACAGATAGGGTTAAGAGATCTCATGTCAAAAAGTTGAAGAGATCAATGTAATATTATCTTTAGAAAGACAACCCGACACACGTGGAACCGAGGGAGAAAAGCAGGTAACCTGGTATTATGTATTGAGGATGTTGAATAATATTTCTGACAAGGAAAAGGAAAACATAAATTAAAAAACAAACTTTAAATAGGGAGATTGTTTAAATAAACGTCTTTATCACATATTTCTACGCGCACCCACCTCCCCATCCCCAGCCTACACACATGTTTTCACATACACTAGCGCCCGCGCACACACACACGCACACACACACCACACACGCACACACTACACACACACACACTCGCGCGCGCACACACATACACTCAAGCACACACACAATCACACTCATACACACACACACACACACACAAACACACACACAAACACACACACAAACACACTCACACACAAATAAATACGCGCACGTGCATCTGCACGAACACACTAAGACTTGCAGAAATGAAAGGTTTAATAGACTTATCTTTACATTATGCACCTTGTCTCGGATGGGAGGGTGACAGCCGAAACTAAGAAAATCTTACCACCTAGAGTTACCCAATCCCCCAAACAAGGTTCGGAATAAATGCTGTGTCATTCTCTAATGGGTTAGATTATACCCACATAATTTATCTCAAGGCTCGAAAGTACAAAAGGGTCATAAAATCTAAGGGATATAAGGATTTACAATGGTAGAAATGTTTGTGCTTGTTAGCTGACGATGTGCAAAACCGGAATAGAAAGGTATTTTTCCTTTGGGTGTTGTTAGATTTTTTTCTTCTTTTGGTTGTTCTTTTAATATTTATTTATTCCCGTTCTTTCGACACGCAGAACTTGTAAATAATAAGCAGATAAAAAAGGAAGGTCGTTTCACGAGGACCTTCCAGCAGTGTAATATATTTTATTTGTGGTTGAGTTTTACGAGAGCAACACAGGGAAGCAATGTGCGGAATTTTATTGTGGTGTTTAGGAATTCGAAACAAAGCGCGCTTGGTATCTTGTCCTGGTTCTTGTCCGTGGTTCTGGAACTAATCATTTATATGACAGAGGCGTCTATTGTTTTTGTTCTTTGTACATGTAAATGTTATTGCTTTTTATTATTGTAGTGTTGGTGTTTTTGGATAAGACCAGTGTTTGTTTTAGTTGGTTTCTTACCATTATCTTTTATTAAAAATATATACAAATAATAAATTAGATAGATAGATAGATAGATAGATAGATAGATAGATAGATAGATAGATAGATAGATAGATAGATAGATAGATAGATAGATAGATAGATAGATAGATAGATAGATAGATAGAACCAGAGAGAAAGGGAGAGGAACAGAGAG